CTGCGCGCAATGTGCGCGCGACTCCGGGGGCCCTGCTTTTCGCTGCAACCCTGGGATTCCGCCTCAGAGCCCCATCTCCCCCTGCCGCAGCCTGGGTCCCCAGGGTGTGGCCCATAACTGGGGCTCAGCGCTGCCGGTTCGGGGGTTCAGCCCAGGCTGGGGGTTTTATTTCCTTCCTGCTAGGGAATGCCGGGCAGCACCCAGCCCTCTCCTCCTCTCCAGCTGCGACCTCTCCGAGCGCGCGTGTGTGTGAGTGCGCAGCATGTCTCAGTACCTTAGGCTTTTTTTCAACTCCTCTGATTTTCCTTCTGGTTTGCTCTTTCCTTCTTGTTGTAGCATTTTCAGTCAGTCGACTACCTGTAGCTCTGGGCGATGTCCACTCTACATTTTAGTTGTATTCCATTGAAATTATTGTGTGCTGCTGTGGTTAGATGTCTACCCGAGCAGCCATCTTGGATCCTCCTCCTTTTTTCATTTTTTTAAATAGCATTTCATGGTGTAGAGACACAGCTTGCTTATCCACTCCTGTGCTGATGGGCCCTGGGGCTGCTTCCAGATCTCAGCTATTGAAAATTGTGCTGCTGTGCACACAGGGGCGCATGCGTTCTTTCTGGTTGCAGCTGTAGGGATTTTAGAATATATTCCCAGAAGTGGGATCGCTGGGTCAAACGGAAGTTCCATACTGTTTCCCACAGTGGCTGCACCAGTCTGCACCCCCAGCGGCAGGGAACTAGGGCTCCCTTCGCCCCACATCCTCAGCAGCACTTACTGTTTGTGCACAGCCCAGCTCCTCTGCCTGTCTCCTTTCTTACCCGCTTCCTTTAAATCTCAGAGGCGGGGGCCGTGAGCTTCCCTTCAATTCCACGCCCTGTCCATCTTAGGTGCCTGATGAGCTTTTCCCACTTTCCAGAGCGAGGCCCGTGGTCTCCCCTCTGCTCCTGGCCCCGACCTCCTACCCCACCAAGCCGGCCTTGGTCTCTGGAACGCTGAGGGTATTCATTAACTCTTCCGATAACCCTCCTCTCCCACCTCTTCCCCTCTCTTATCTGGGTTCACCGCCACCTTGATATCGGCTGGCCCCTCATGGATCCTAAAGGTTTTACTTTGCAAAACCCACGACAATCTGCCCCCACAGAGCTGATGGCCTTCTCTTCTGGCTGTGAGCTTTGATGACGAGGCTGATTTTGCTCCCTTCCCCCGGCGATCTCACGTGAAAGGGGAGCTCAGAGAGAGGAGCATGTGGGCCCACAGCTGGGGAAGGACGGGGCCATTCAGATCCAGGCCTGTCCGAGGCTAACAGAGACTCCCTCGCACCGCTTCCTGCACAGCCACCCTGTGTCACCGCAGAAGCAGCATCTGAGCCCTGTCACCTGGGTCCAGGGCTGGGCTGGGTCCTGCCCATGGGCAGGCAAGCCCACTGCAGACAATGTGGGGGTGAGACCGGGCACTGGCTGCGGGCCAGCTGGAAACAGCTTCGAGGGGCTGTAGCCATGTGACTGCGCTGAGGGAACAGCCCTAACACTCCGAGGCGGCTGCCATAGACTCGTAGAGGTGACTGCCATTAAGTTCCTGGTGAAGAAGGGTGCCCAAGCTCCCAGGGGCAGGAGAGGAGTTCACTGCATCTGTCCAAGGCCTCGACTCAACCTGCCACCTCGGCCCCTGGCACCCTAGACAAGGTCCCACCCAAAAACACACGCCCAACTCACAGGGCTACTGAGCACGGTGGCCCCAGG